TGATGTTGTAGTGTATTTAATTTTCTATTTCAAACAGCCAAATAAACAGGTCACTTACCTGTAACTGATGATCTTCGAGTGGTCATCTGTGCAGTACCACACATGGGATGGGTGCCTGTGCACGACCTTGACTGGAGAACATTCCAGAGCTTGCCTCAGGAGTCTTTTTTGGTGGGCTCTCTTCCCGCCCTGGGGAGCAGGCATGCACTGCGCATGCCTGGAGCGGAGGAGAGAGCCGCCTCCCACTCAGTACCTTAGAACATAACAGGTAAGTCCTATCAACTCAGGGTAAGTGAACAGGAGATGCCAGCAGTGGGGAAGGCTGGGTGGGATTGTGGTACTGCACAGATGACCACTCGAACATCATCAGTTACAGGTAAGCAACCTGTTTATCTTCATCATGGTCTCTGTGCAGTCCCACACATGGGTGATTAGAAGAGCTGAACCAGGTGGAGGAGGGAGCTGGCAGAGACAATAAGCAGGTTAGGACATAGCAGTATGATTTCAATTTACAGGTCCTTCCTGAAGCAGCAGAAGCATCAGGTGAAGAGAGATCGGAGCACCGCCTGGCCAAATGCAGCATCCCGTCAAGCTCGAACGTCCAGTGTATTAGTGGGACACGAAGGTCGATGTCGAGGACCACGTAGCCGCAGCACAGACATCATCCAACGGGACACCAGCTAGGAAGGCTGTAGAAGTCGAAACTGCTCTTGTGGAGTGAGCAGTGATACAGACGTGTATGGGTTGGTTTGCCAATCTCCTCTTTGAGAGGAGATCGGTTCACCCTTGGACGGGGGACCATAGGCAACAAAAAGCCTTGGAGACTTTCAAAAAGGCTTTGTTCGATAGAAATAAAAAGAGAGTGTCCTCCAGACATCGAGGCAGTGCAGGGCTCTCTGAGGTGCGTCAGCCGGGTTCGAAAAGAAAGTAGGTAAAACTGAAGACTGAGATAGATGAAAGGCAGAAATGACTTTAGGTAGAAAGGAGGGATCTGGCCAGAGAACTACCTTTTCCTTGTGGAAAATTTTATATGGGGGACCTGTATGCAAGGCAAAAAGATCCTCTACCCGGCGAGCCGTAGTAATAGCAATTTAAAACGCCGTCTTCCATGAGAGGAGTCGAAGATCCATCAAAACCATCGGCTCGAAGGGCTTAGTTATGAGTTGCGTCAAAACTAGGGACAGACTCCAGGAAGGCACGAGTGGCTTTCAAGGCCGGCAGAAATGAAGGAGCCTCTGAAGGAAAGACTTTGTCAGGCGGTGTGAAAAGACAGTAGAGCCCTGTATTAAAGGATGATAAGCCGAGATGGCAGCCAGGTGTACTCTTAGAGAAGAGTATGCAAGGCTGGATTCCTTCAAGGACACAATGTAGGAGAAGATCTCCCATAGAGAAGTGTGGGTTGGATTGAAGGAGTGTTGCAAGGCGTAAGATTGGAACCTCCTCCACTGCAGACGAGAGGTATTGCGAATAGTCGGTTTCCTTGTGTTAAGCAACACATTCGACACTTCAGGTGAGAAGTCTAATGTAGGATCTTCCACGCTGTCAGCCTGAAGAAGGTCAGGTTGTGGTGGAGGATCTGGCCTCGATCCCTGGACAGAAGATCTAGCACATGAGGGAGATGACAGAACCGTCCGTTGGAGAGTCAGAGGAGGTGAGGGAACCACACTTGGCATGGCCACCAAGGGGTGATGAGGATGCAGAAGGTGGCGTCGGCCACAATCTTTTGAAGCACCCTGGAGATGAGAGGAAACGGGGGGGGGGGAGGAATAAAATAGGGTCCCTGTCCATCTGTGATGGAACACATCCCCCAGAGACCAAGTGGTCGGCAGACCTTGGGTGAAGAAGAGGTGGCAGCGGGCATTCTCCAAGGTGGCAAAACCATTGACAGTCGGGTGACCGAACTCAAGGAAGACTGGTCGTAGATATCGGAGATGGAGGCACCATTTGTTGTCTTGTGGGACTGAGCAGCTCAAAAGATCGCCGTCTGTGTTCTGAATGCCAGGGATGTGTATAGCGGAAAGCATGATGGAATGATGAAGACACCAATTCCAAAGGCGGTTGCTGTCCAAAGGTGAAGAGAAGCGGTGCCGCCCTGCTTGTTGATGTAAAAAACACTTGTGATATTGTCCGAGGCAACACGGACAACCTTACCTTGTATGATCGGGAGGAAGGACCTTAAGGTGAGATGCACTGCTCGAAGCTCCAGGAGGTTGATGTGAAGAGCACTCTCTCGAGGAGACCAGATTCCCCTGGCAGATAACGTCCCGCATTGGGCTCCCCAACCCCAAAGGGATGCATCTGTGGCTAAAGAAATCTCCAGAGGTGGATGTCGAAAGGGCATACCGGAGAGGAGATGTTGTGGAAGAGACCACCAAGACAGGGAGGTCAGTACGGGCACCGGGATTGAGAGCTTTGTGTGCCAAGAACTCTATTGAGGATCGAAAACACGAAGGAACCAGAGTTGAAGGGGGTGCATTCTGAGCCTGGAGTTTCGTACGGCAAAGACAGTGGATGTGAAGTAGCCCAGGAGCCTCATGACTGACTGAGCCAATTGCTGGGGACATCTAGTGAAGGTGGACATCAGCGTGATTATGTCCGAAGCCCTGGAATCTGGCAGGAAGGCAGTCTCGGTGGTGGTATCAAGGTGGGCTCCTAAGAATTGGAGAACCTGCAGGGCCGGCTCGCTCACTAGGCGAACTAGGCGTTCGCCTAGAGCGCACCAGCCCTTAGGGGCGCCAAACTGCACCCGCCCTCTCACCAAAAGCCCCCCCAAAGCCCTGCATTTCCATGGCCAGGTGACCACTGCCGCTGCCCGCCGCCTCTTTGGCCAGCTAACTTTTCCCTGCCTGCCCCCTCGGCTTCCCAGCGGAGCGCTTCTCCTCCTCCTCCTCTTCGCTGCTGGGGACTGGCAGCTGCAGCAGGAGCAGCAGGGCTGGGGGAGCAGTGGCTTGTGAGCGCCCCACTGGTCAGCCTCTTCTCTGGGTGCCCTGACGAGGGGTGCCAAACTGCACCCGCCCCCTGTCACCCCCCCACTGGCTCTGACCACGGGGGGCACCAGAAGGGATCTTCGCCTAGGGTGCACAATAAGCTGGGGCCGGCCCTGAGAACCTGTACAGGTTGGAGTGCAGACTTCGACAGATTGACGCACAGACCTAAGGTCCGGAGAAGGGCAAGAGTAGAGTGGGCGTCGTGGAGAAGTTGAGTCTCCGTAGGAGCCACAAGAAGCCAGTCGTTGATGTAGGGGTAAAGGACAATCCCCTGACGGTTTAGCTCGGCAGCAACGACTGCCATCATTTTCGTAAAGACCCTGGAGGCCGTAGACAGGCCAAATGGAAGGACATGGTATTGGTAATGATCGCCTCCGACAGCGAAGCGTAGGAATTTTTGATGTTGAGGGCAGATGGTAATGTGAAAATAGGCCGCTTGCAGATGTATCGATGCAAGCCTCCCAGACTTGGGGAGAAGAGGGAGAACGTTCATAGATGTGATGGAGTAAGTTTTCTTGGCAATAGCATCAATCTTCCGACCCTCACAATTGGGAGGAGCGGACTGTCAAACGAGTTGATTAGACTTAAAAGAGGAACGAACAATAATCGAGTTCAATGGAGGCTGATTGAACAAGAATTTTCCAGAAAATTCTTGAACTTTATAAAGGCCATCATAACGTTTCGATATTGGAGTGACGGAGGCAGGATGGTCCCAAGACTCCTTGAGGACCGAAAGATGGACCGGAATGAGTTTCAGTAGAACCCTGCACTTGAAGAGCTGTAGCCATTTGGGTAACAAGCTCCAAATAGGCTTTCGGGCCTTCTGTAGGAGGGATGGAACCCGAGCGACCGATCTCGTCCGTGATAGGAAGGATATCAGGGTCAAGATCACCAGACACAGAATGGTCAGATACCAAGTCCGGAGAAGGTGATTGAAGCGGTTGAGAGACATCAATAGGCGTTTGGTCATCAGTGGGAGGATGATAGTAAAGGTAAAGGTTCCCTTGCTCGAAAGCTAGTCGAATCCAACTCTAGGGTTGCAGTGCTCATCTCCGTTTCAAAGCCGAAGAGCCAGCGCTGTCCGAAGACGTTTCTGTGGTCATGTGGCCAGCATGACTAAAGACCAAGGCGCACGGAACGCTGTTACCTTCCCACTGAAGTGGTACCTATTTATCTACCTCCAATTTCTTGCTTTTGAACTGCTGCGCTGGCAGGAGCTGGAACTAGAGATGGGAGCTCACTCCATTATGCGGCAACTCGGGTCTTCAGCTGTTGAACTACCGACCTTCCACAGCCTGTAGTTCAGCGTCTTAACCACTTGAGCCACCACAGCTCCTGGGAGGATGATACCGAGGTTCTACTGGAGAATGCTTCAGAGCATCTGTTGACATCGATACATCTGGAGGCTGATCGAGACCCAGGGAATGGACTGAGGCCACTGAGTGGGAACGCCTGGAGTAGGACGAAGTCGGCCCGGCCTCCGTAGCAGTCAGTCTGTCCAAACCGGTCATAATGATCTCGGCGAGGGGTAGAAAACCTGGAGTAAGAGCGAGGGTAATACACTCTATGGTGCCTGACACCTGGAGACCAGGATCTATAATCAGACGCCGATCTTGATGGAGAGGGCAAGTGATGGTAATGGTGTGGTCTGCGAGTATAGCGGGACCTCGACCTGGATCGACTTTGCATGAAATGCTCCCTGTCATCCAAAGGGTGACTGAGAGGCACGATAAGAGGAAGAGTGCTGGACAGGCGACTTTGAACGCTGACCAGGTGGAATACGCCCTGATGGTGAAGACAAGATAGGCGGCGGAGTCGGAGGCTGAAGGCTAGGTTTATGTGAAGGCGGAGCCACAGAAGATAACACTGGAGTCGATGTTGAGAGACTGGAGATCACTACAGGATTGAGCTTCGGAGCTGAAGTCGACATTGAGGGCTTTGATTTTGACTTAGCCGACTGTTTGTCTTCATGCTTTTTAGATTTATGCTTTAGGGGTTTCGCATTGTCGGAGTGTTTTTGCGGAGCAGAAGGCTGGGACATGACTGAAGGCATAGGGCGCAAGGCTGCTTCGAGGAGAGATGTTCTAAGTCGGGCTGCCCTATTTCTATGGGCCTGATGAGTAAAGTTTGCACAATGTGGACAGGAATCAACACGGTGAGACTCGCCCAGACAAAACAAAGATCGTGGCCGTCGTTGGAAGGAAGTTTGGCTGGGCAACGGCGACACGTCTTAAAGAATTTTGTTTGTCCCATACAAACACCTCCCCGGCCAAGGGGGGTGGGCAGACAGAAATGAAAGTGAGGAAAATAGTAAAGTTCTTTTTTTTTTTCAGGAGAATAAGTAGGAATAAAGAAAAATGAGAAGAATAAGAAGACGAAATTAGGTAGAAAAGTACTCAGCTGAGGCAATTTAAAGAGTGATGCTAGCGAGGTGTGAACACGAAGGCACTCGAAGAAGAACTGAGTGGGAGGCGGCTCTCTCCCCCACTCCAGGCATGCGCAGTGCGTGCCTGCTCCCCAGGGTGGGAAGAGAGCCCACCAAAAAAGACTCCTGAGGCAAGCTCTGGAATGTTCTCTGGTCAAGGTCGTGCACAGGCACCCAACCCATGTGTGGGTCTGCATACAGACCACGACAAATATCTTTTGGATCCAGGAACACTTCCAGGCTGCAAGACTGATCTATGAGAGGGAATGTGGCACTATACACAGTTTATTAATCCACAATATCAACCAAGGGTTGCCAGTAATTCAGTGGGGACAGGGGACCCCACCCCAGCTCCAGTTTCCCACCACTGCTCTGAACAATGCACCTTAGAATAGTCATGTTTCAGGAGGGTAGCTGTGTTGGTCTGCAGTAGGAGAGCTAGATTCAAGTCCAGAAATACTTAGAGACTAATAAGATTTTTGAAGTATAAGCTTTTCGGAGTCAAAGCTCTCTAAAGAAGGGAGCTTTAACTCTTGAAAGCTTATGCCTCAAAAAATCTTGTTGGTTTCTAAGGTGCTAGTGGACTTGAATCTAGAATAGTCCAAGTAACTCTTAGTTCTTTATGTCCCTGTGTAAGCTTTTGCTAGGAATTTTGTACCGCTTCTGTATAATCACCATTTGCATTTGTTTTGGAGAAAGGAGGATCTAGCCATTGTCAGGCATGTCTGCATTCTTTCCATGTGAAGACTCTGTGGTATACTTCATAGACTTGCCCTTGAAGGCATTTCAGAGCCCTGACCTGGATAGCCGAGGCAAGCCCAATCTTGTCAGATCTCGGAAGTTAAGCAGGGTCGACTCTGGCAAGTACTTGGATGGGAGACCTTGGAATACCAGCAGTCGGGAAGTGGGAGCAGGCTTTATTTAGCCACCTCTCTGAATATCTTCCAAGCCCCCAGTAGGGGTCAGTCACCAGAGGTCGCCATGACTTCCAGGTGTGCACACACTCACATGAGTGCACATGCACACACACGAAAATATACAAAAGGAGTGAAAAGACATTTCAGAGACTTACATTGGTCCAGAATGTAGTCACATGTCTTCTCTGCAACTAGCATCAGATGAAAGGTCATATAGTATCTATTTATACCTTAACTTCCTAGATGTAATCTTTAAAAGCCCTAAGAAGAGATTGGATTTATATCCCGCCCTTCACTACCCAAAGGTGTCTCGGAGTGGCTTACAAACTCCTTTCCCTTCCTCCCCACAACAGACACCCTGTAAGGTAGGTGGGGCTGAAAGAGCTCTGACAGAAACTGCTCTTTTTCAAGAACAGCTGTGCCAGAGCTATGGCTTGCCCAAGGTCATCCAGCCAGGTGCAAGTGGAGGAATGGGGACTCAAACCCGGTTCTCCCAGATTAGAGTCTGCACACTTAACCACTACACCAAACAGTAACCAAACTGCTTTATTTAAGAGAAGATCTCCAATATAGCACTGCCGCCACTGCCCAAGGTAAAATTTGCCTCTTTGAGAGATTGGCAAATTGGGATTGGTTTTGTCTAAATTAGAACTGCTGTTAGTGTTTTGCGTATAAGGTTTCTGATTAAATGGGCTTTTCCCCCTGGTACTTCACTATTGTAAGCTTTTATAAGTGTAGAAGAAATGGCATTGTGTTTAATGATCATTGTTCATTGGCTGTGCTGAAAAGTTCATCTTATTGAATGCAAACTTTCTACAATGCTGTATTGACATAATACAATGCATGTACAGGATCATTCCAAGCAGTAGTCAGGATAGGATTCTTGCAGTATTTAATTAAATACCGAGTGGCATTAGGTTGTGTTGCACCATTCAGAGCTGCCACTCTGTGTCTGTCATATACTCAAATAATACAAATGGAGAGGTGCTTCAGTTTTGTATATGAGAATCTTTGGTGTTGTGAAAGTACAGATTTTTTCATATAATTGTTCATTATATGAGTAGACAACTGACAGACAGTCCAGTAGTTGCATAAATACAGATTTTAGGTATGTATTTTTTATGAACGAAGGCATCTCTGAAATCAGATACAAACAAACAGGCATCTCTGTGACATCAGATACAAACAGATACAAATCCACTGATTTGTTAAGGGTAATTTTGATGCTATTAGACATTTTATATGCATCACTGTTAAAAGTTGTGGAAATGTCAAGTGCTTGTGCTTATTGGTCAATATTGTATGGTAGGACTATACAGATGTGAGCCCATGAGGAATTGTGCAAGGGGAAGGGCAGTTTGGGAATTTCAGCCACACCTGCCAAGATCTCCCCATCCAAGTCACTCTAGACTCCTGGGAATATGAACTGGCAGCTCTCTGCTCATCCTCTCCCCATTTTTCTTTTAACTGACTGTCTGATGTCCCCAGTATTTTATATATTTGAGAGCATATTTAGTCCTCAGAAGGTTTGTGTGTGTGTGTGGTTTACTTACAGCCAGTTTTTAAAGTCATTTTTCTGCACACCTGGGGAGTCCCTAAGCATGTTGCAATCCCTACCTTGTCTGTGGTTGGCCCAGTGCTGCAGCTTTGATATTCTGTACTGAGGCCAGCCAGCTTACTACTAGATATAGTGATTCACCCCTAACTCTAATTCCTGAAGGATGCCTATTGTTTTATGTTATTCTCTCACTGCCCTGGTATGCTTATTATAATCTTTTCTGGCTAAAAAAGAAACTCAGCAGAAAACAATGAGCATGCTTTAGCAATCATTGTTAGCCTTGAATGTATTTAACTGAGTTTAAATGTGGGAGAGATTCATTTTGCTTACTAATTTTTTTCCTATTATAGAACAACTTGGTTTCGTATTCAACTACAATATTACTAACATATGAGAACAAAAGACTAGTATCTAGCTAAGAATTTCTGACACAAAGCTATTGAATAGTTTGCAAATTTATCATTGCTTTCTAAAAGAAATTCAAGGTGCATGTATCTATGGAATAGTTGTAAGATCTTACAATTTTTGACAGCTGTGGGTAGATATTTTAATGTTCCACCTCCCATTTTATTTAAAGCTTCCCAACTGTGAGATGAAAGAGAATACAAAACAAAATCTTCCAGATGTCTTCCACTGTTTTGGATACTTTCTGACAGTACTCAGGTTTTACCTCCTCTTGTTTTCCTAGTCTATAAGCATTCTGAGGAGGCCCTGAGGCTCAAAAAGGTTGGGAACATCTGAGTTATGAACTGTGAATCCAGGGACCAATTTGTAGTTCAGTTTTATAGAACAAGCTGCTTCTGTGAAGCAGGCATAGCTTATGCAGTGGCTAAAAAGTCCATGTGAATTTGAATAAAATTTGGTCTTAACATGGATGAGTTTAAAAGGCGAGAACCATGGAATTAGTCTCTGGATTCTTATTTATAGTATAGGAATATTAGTAAGGATACCCTGTCACTAACCATCTTAAATGGCTACCATAATAATGGGGGGGAGGATCTGATTATGAAGGAATGTAGTTTTTTTGTATAGGTCCAGCGATCTACCACTTAAACTACCAAGCCATACACAGGCAAGCATGAGCAATCAGGGTACTGCAAGAGTATTAAGCGGCTGACTTCCTGTTAATTATTAATGGATACTTTAAGCACCTATTAGCATTTTAAACATTTCTGAACACCAGAGGGAAGACTTAGAATGTTTAAATAGTTTGAAGTTTTTGTGAACTTCCCTTGAGAATAATTAACTCACGTAGAATATAAATTATGTATTGGTGTCTAAATTTTTCTGAAAACCCTTCACCTCTGTAACAGCTTCTAGATCAGTATTCTACTACACTGTTGTTTTCAAAATGTTATTGGGAGAACAGATTTCTCAGTCACTCCTTGGTTATCAAGGGACAAGAACATCTAGACATCATGAAATTGTCTCAGTATATCTTCCCATATACTAAAGAAGTAGTTTGCTTGGGTTGATTTTTGTAAAGCCTGAAAATGCTCATAAACTGCTAAAATATAACAAGACATTGGCTTCAGAAAGCTTACCGTTTTCAACAGGAGAAAATAAAATCAGAATGAACTGTAAACAATCCGTTTATATGAAATTAAACTTATAGAAAAATAGTTGTAATAATCAGATTAATCAGTTTGGGGGGGGGTTCTCTCTGTTGCTAGGTAGCTGCAATAAGTACTATTGTAAACCGTGGAACACCGTTGAAAGCCTTTGTATTTAGAAATTACAATCACCTACCTGGAGTCAAGTCTCACTATCTTGGAGGTTGTCAGTATAAATTATGGCAAGCAATTCGAGCATCATCTGCTGCACCGGGCTACTTCCAAGAGTATGTTCTGGGCAATGACCTTCATCAGGTTAGTTGTAACATTTCCTTTTCATTATTTTGATTTCTGAAGCATTGTAAGCCAAATGAGCCATTGCCTGGTGTGTTTGTCCCAATCAAAAGCACAACCAGTAAGGATTCTGAAGTGAGAAGGAAAATTTATTAGAACAAAGGGGAACCCAAGCCTCAAAAGCCTGAATTCCAAAGAACAAGTGAAGTTACAAACTTTTAAATAATTGTGCACAGCCTTTTGGACATTTGCAGACGTCCACACCTTTGCTTAACACCACATACCTTCCTGTCCCATACATGGTTATTCTCACAAATTCTTATCTCTTGTATTCTTTCAACTATTTATCTATACTTCCATTAGTGTTGTCTGCTTTGATCAATGCTTGACAATGCAGGTAACTCCCTAGAACTTCCTCTAATTTGCAAGGAAGGATAGAATGTATCTGTGACCATTAGACAACCTTTCTAAATTATGGTACTTGGTGTGGAGTTCTCCACATACCATATGGTGAAGTTTCTCTTTGTTATTCTAAAAGCAAGCAGTGAAATCTTCTATTGAGCCATTACTTCTCAGCCTTAACCAAAAATTCAAAATGGAGTTTCTTTGGTCCTTGTACCACAGGACTGCTAAGGCAAGTCTTAGTTTCACAATTATAGCTTTGTGTTGTACCCAGAGAAGTTCCTCAAAAGCCGGTCACTTCCTGCAGATCTTGGACTTATATATTGGACATTCTGGCTCTGTATTTCTTGGGTTTGTTCAAGTGCTACAAAGCCCTTTCTAGTCACAATAAATCACTTGTTATGTGGAGTTTATCCCTACTATTTAATACCTGTATTTTTTAGTGCTGAGTCTACAATTTGCATAAAATCTCTGCTGAAAAGGAGAGCTTCTTATATTCTATACTTTTATCACTTACAAATAATTCAAATACATATTTGTAAACTTTCAGTTGCACTTTTTAAATGTTATGAAGCTCTGGACTTGCTTCTGCTGTCACCCCTTAAAGTAAGCCAGAGAGAACTGGCCATTTCTAGTTGAGTGCATTACTTGTTAGTTGGTTTCGTACAACAGCATAGATGTTCATAGTCCTCTTCTGATTTCATTAACCCACTGATAATGAAGCTACAGTGTTATGATCTCTAGCAAAATTCTGCATGTTTCAAAGTATGTTGACAAACCTTAACAGCAAGGAGCCTGCAGTGGAGGTTGTGTGCTGGTGCTAATTAGTAGATACAAGAGCCCTTTGATATATGGCATTAAAAATTCATTGTCTTTGGTTCTTCCTTTCACTAATGAGGCTGCTAAGTATGCTAGTTCTTTGATGTGTGACAGAATTCAGAGAGACTTAGAACTGTTTCAGATTTTCTAATTTGCTACAGGGCAAGCAAAAAAATAAAATAAATAAATTCCTAGCTTAAAAAAAGTATACAAATAAATAATGTGATGTACAAGCTGTTTTCATGTTCTACGTTTCCACATAGACATTTCATATCACTTGAAGAATTTTAGTTTCTACAGAACATTTGTAAGGCAAATCTTAAATGGCCATTTAACAAAAGGTAAGGAGTAAGCACATTAGGTAAAATCAACTCAATTGTTTATGGTGATGACTGATATCCTAATGGAACTAGATGCATGGCTAGATCTAAAGAACAGAGAGGTTTCTGCTTGCAGAATCTGTCTTTCCAAATTTCTTGGTTTTCTACAACTTTTCCTCCTCTGTGCAAATGCAAAAGTTGCTCTTGAAGGGATGGTTGCTTTTTGAAGTGGGAAATATGTGGAAGTTATGGACATCTTTGAATCAATGAGTTTTGTATTGACACCAAGGAATCATTTGAGCCAGTCTAGGGAAATATTGTTTCAGAACAGTTTACTTGAAAGTAAATCAAGTGACTCAGCTACATGGAATTTGGGATGGGATTACTTAGAATTTTCAGGCTTTTAAAATTTGTGTTTGCAAACTCTCAATGTATTGGGGATTTCTGCAACTATTGTTGTGTTCACAGTCTGGTATTTAGTAACAGTCTAACTCCCAGTATCCTCTTTGATGTCATGCAAGCAAAGGCTTGAGTAGGGGTGTGTACTCAGTATATACCGAGCCGAATACAGATTGGAGATCTGTACTCGGCTACTGAAATAGCCCTGCCCAAATAAAAGCTGCTATTAATCCGCTTTTATTCGGGCGCAGCTAAAAGGTATTTAAAGAGACTGCAGTGGCACGGCTCAGTGAGTGAACTGAGCAAGCATTTAAAGTTAAATCCCTTCTCCATTAAATCCATTCTCTGGTCCCCATAGGGTAAACAGGACCCAAATAAATTTGGTAATCCTGATTATTTCTAGAATCCCAATATCATACCGATACTGGGATTTGGGAATATCAGGAAATACCTATATTTTTTAGGTTCAGTGCACCCCTAGTCTTGAGGTTTAACTTACATTTTCTTGTGCTTCTAGGGTTGAATTTTCAAACCAAGAGGCAATATTGGTTAATTGAATCTGAGTTCATGCAGCAATTGGGCATGGTGTAAAGAGTGAGGCTATGCTGCTTCTTGGTAGAGCTATGGCAATCACGGAGTGCTCTCGCCACCTCAGACAGCTATCAGAAGGGGTAAACCAGAATCCAACCCACCATAATAATCATCTTAGGACAATCTGACCCAAGGCATGATTGGCAAGCAGATAAAAAATGGGGGGTGGGGATACATGGCATCATCTCAGGTTGATTTTCAGGCACAATTAAAAGCAGGACCTAAAAGCACTTGCCAGATCTGAACAGAAAGTTTGCAATGGAAGATAGGCTTTTTTCAAAACCTTGTTCACTTTCATGTGTGCAGTGATCTTGGTCAAAAAAATATACCTGCAGTAGCCTGAGTAATAGTATTTCACAATGTCCTGGTTCAGGCAGGCACTTGAGGCAATAGGCATAGTCCAAAAACAGTCGGGGGTCAAAGCACAGCTATTCAAAAGTCCAAACATCAAACTAGAAGGACAGATCCAAGGAGCACAGGCCAGGTCACGGTCCAGAAGGTCAAAGCACACAGAAATCCAAACCTCACAAGGGTTATGGACAAGTTGTTTCCACACTGGCCCTTTCTTTTCTGGCTGCTTTTATCTTGAGTAATTCAAGGACAGGTGCAAGTCTTCAATGGCTGAGCAGCCTACAGGACTGTCAGCCCTGATTCTACACTGACTCCAACTCATAGGCAGAGGTTGCCCAGTGCTGGGCTGCCAGTTGTGCACTGCAGCACCACTACTGCACCTCCCTCCGGGCCTGCCTTCTCTGGTGACCCCAGGGGTGAGGCTGGTGGCTTCAGGGCCTCTGCTTCAGCTTCTGATCCCAGGATGCAGGACTGAAAGCATGGCACACTGACTACAGTCTGTGACTCCCTGTGTTCACCTGATGGAGGCCTCACCTTGTCTGGTGGGTCTTCTAGAGCATCCAAGGGCTGGGGCCAGCTTTCTCCATCACTTTCTCATCTGAGGAGGTGTTGGCAGGCATACCCACAACACACAGCAAAGTGGCATAGTAGCGATTGTCTTTGAAAAGCACTAATTTTTTCTCCTCTCCCCATATGTAAATTATTTCAGTGGCATAATGGAATGAGGGTCCTTGAGCAGTGACAGATGCTGTCATATCCTTACTCCTTAGCAGAAAATATTTAATTTGTAGTGATGTGTTAAACATTTATGCAGGAAGATACACATATACAAGCAGGGGTCCTGCAAGGACTTGTGGGGGGCATTTCATTTTTCCTTCCCCCACAATTTCTTCTTTTTCTTACCTTGAAAGCCCCCATGGCCTCTTTCCTTACCACCTACCAGCCAACCTACTTTTATCTGCTCCCATCTTCAGCTTTCCTTCCCTTCCTACACCTGGCAACCTTTTCCCAGGAAAACTCTAGCCAAGTTTCACAGTGTTTGTTGGAAGAGGCCCAGATGTGTGATGGGAAACCTGCAAGGATTTGTGGAGGGTACCTAGTCTTCTCCTGTGTCCCATCCTCACACTGTTTCCTTTTTCTCTCCTGGCAGGCCCCGTATCCTCACCTTTCCCTGCTTCCTTTCCCAGCCACCAACAAACCTACCTTTTATTTGCTTCCCACCTTCAGCTATACCATTTATTTAGATAATTTATACCCTGTATTTCTCCACAATGGGGTCCAGAGCAGCTCACATCATTCTCCTCTCCTCCACTTTAATCCTCACAACAGTTCTGTGATTTAGGTTAGTTTAGGAATGTGATTTAGGTTAGTTTAGGCCATCAAGTGAGCACCATGACAGAGTGGGTCTCTGAAACTGGGTTTTTCAGGCCCTAATCTGAAACTCCAACTACTGCCCCACACTGGTTTTCATGGGGTGTGTGCTGTTGAACAACCTGGTCCTGGCCCTGATGAACTAGCCCTTGCAGGCCAACACAGCACTAGAAAGGACTCATCCCTCCTCATGGTTTTTACTGATATTTGATTTACTGATAATGTGATTTTATTTGTAAGCCGCCCTGAGCCCGCGCAGCGAGGAAGGGCGGGGTATAAATTGAATAAAATAATAATAAAATAATAATAAATATTTATTTATTTATTTATTTTATTCAATTTATACCCCGCTCTCCCTGCCAAGGCTTGAGACTCCATGCTTGCCTAGCAAAAGCGCCTGAGGGCTTTCATTTCTGAAAGCTACAGGTTCTTCTATTCTTTTGGGGTGTTTTAACCCACAGAGTTTTTTTTTTTTTTTTTTTAAGTTCAGATTTTGGAAACGCAGTTTCTGATCCCCACTCTGCCATGCAAGCTTACTGGGTGACCTTGAGCCAGCCACATTCAACCTAACCTAAGTCACAGGACCCATTTGGAAAGAGAGGCAAGGTATAAATGAAGAAAGCAGATAACAAATGGGGGCCTATGAGATTCACGTGGAAGAATCCCATCTCCTTCCCACTCTCACCGAGTCCAGCGTAGCCCCTGTGCTTTCCCTGGGCTGCACTGCTGCCACTGGGCCCAGTGCAGCTTCCGGGCTGTGTGGCCATT